AAAATGTCAAGACCATGGAGCTCTTTTTCTCTGTTTTTTAGTGTCCAGAGATTTGCCATCCCTCCTTGAATCACCAAATATAGCTTCACATGCAGTATTTCTTCTCCTACTTACAAGAGATGTTGATTCTCGTTATTTAATCTTAGTTGAATCCCCTGCACTTCAAGTCTCTCAGCTGCCTTACATGAAAAACTTTCACCTCTTGAATGCTTTCCCTGGCATATTCCAATAGTAATCTCCCTTAATTAGACCTTAAATCCAGCTACTTCCTTTGTGTTAATAGTTATTTCTCCTTTAGCTTACCCTCTGCTTTTTCCCTGGACAACAATACAAAGAATTGCAATTTATTTCTGTCCACTGTTATTGACTGAGCTACGCCAATCAAAACCAAGCAAATATTTCCCTGATCCAGACGTGCCATGCCCTGAAATAAAAGCAATTGTACTTACCAAAAAATGGAGCATTGCAGCAGCCATTTGGGCTTTGTACCATTATCTGTAGTGGAAACTGCAGATCATCATTTAGCAAAGCGCCCTTGAAAGGCCAATGGCCAAAGGCCATTTTGCTCATTGGCTCAGAAAGTGTGGGGCTATACAGAAATGTGTTTATAAAATTGGCAGCCTTTTTGTAAAGGCTACGATCTGTTAATTTAGCTTCTAGTAATGTGGAGCTGCAATTTACGTACATTCAGAGAAAACCCATCAACGCTATAAGAGCTCTGGTGTAATATTCATTCTAATACAGCTTGGGAGAGAATACTGTTTTATTGTGGTGATTGCTGTTAAGCAAAAACCAAGCTGTGACATAAACCCCAGGTAAGGTTCTGGAAAACAGGGGACTGGAAGCAGTTTAAGCATGGAAGTGAGGACAGGGAACTGGAAAGGTAGAGTAGAATCTGTGAGGGGAGAGACAAGAAGATTGGAACTGGCATGGAAAAATAGATGGGCAGAGGACAGCTTGGAAGGGATGAGGCAGAAAAGATCGGCTTTAGGGTTGTGTGAATCCTAGGGTTCTTGGTGTCTCGTCATTCATCAGCTCTCAGAGGCGTCTGGGACATTCATTCTGAGTTTCATAGTCTTGTAGGTCCACATGGGGATCACAGACAACTTTTGTAGGTACTTCTGCCCTAGCTCAAGTGTCAGGGCTGAGAGCATTGAATCTAAAGGTTTCAACCTTGCAGGTGTGGGTATTAAAGTAAAATTTACTGGGTAGTTTGTGGGAGAGGGAGCTGTTATAAAAGTTTCACATTCTTACAAAATACACTATTGTGAACTCTAAAGAAAACCCCAGAAATATCTGAAAGAAAGAAGAGAAATGCTTGCTGCAGTTAATGATATGTAATAAACCTCTGCAAAACTGTGTGTATCTTGAGGCACTTGAGCGATGCTTTTCCTAAATCATCACTGGTATGTTTCTTATTTTTCAAATCCCTAATTTAAGTTGTTTGTGTAATCTTGCAGATGTGCTGTCCATCTGCAACAACAAATAAATGTAAAATGGAGACAATATCTCCATCCTTCCCCTTCATTTCACAGGAATGCAAGGCTGTGAAAATACCTAGTCAATGTTTGTAAAATATTCAGATGGTATAATGATGAGTGCTGTAGAATAGGCTTTGGGGAAAGAGATATTTCTGTGCTGGGGCTTAGGCAGTGGGCAGCAAATAAGAAATGGAGAGAAAACCAAGAAATCAAACCAGTGAAGTGTCATTCTTGGTCATCATTCAAGGTACAGCAAATTTGGCTTTAGGTCTCTTTGTACTAGAACGAAAATGCCACGGCCACATGACACAAAATATTATCTGTATAATACTCTCCTGGTTCAAATTTCTCTAAAAATAAAATAAAAATTAGTAAGTCAACGAACTAGCTTATGGTACCACTAAGGGTAGTTAGATTAGATACAGTCTGTCATGTTTTAGATTATACAGGTGCACAAATCCAGGCAAACTTCTAGGTTGCTCTCGAGCTAATGTGACAGTATGCAAACATTGTGTCTGTGTGCCCGAGTGCATCCCAAAGGGAATGGAGCTGTTTGTGGTAACATGGTGTGTGGCAGGCAAGTGCCTCACTCGCTGAGATTGATCCCACAGTACCTGAGCAGAGCGAAGCAGAACAGGCTGGATCTTGACCATCAGGTAGGCTCACAGTGAGGAGGCATATCCCAGCTTGTCAAGCTGGCAAGTCAGTCTGCATTTCAGGATCAAGACCAGTTCTGGTGAGGGTTACCAGGATTAGACTACGATTAGTGATTGCTGGCAAGTCCACAGTGACAAAGCATCATTCACATGCATGAATGGAACATCTCCTGCTGAGGAGCGGCTGAGGGAGCTGGGGCTCTTGAGCTTGGGGCAGAGGAGACTGAGGGGTGCCCTCATTCCTGGGGATCCATTTGGAAAGGGCAGTGTCAGGAGGAAGGAGCCAGGCTCTGCTCTGGGATGTCCAATGCCAGGACAAGGGGCAATGGTCCCAAGCTGGAGCACAGGAGGTTCAAGCTGAAGATGAGGACAAACTTTGTCAGGGTGAGGGTGGCAGAGCATGGCCCAGGCTGCCCAGAGAGGTTGTGGAGTCTCCTTGTGTGGAGACACCCAAAGCCCTGGCCGTGTTCCTGTGTGACTGCTCTGGTGATCCTGCTCTGGCCGGGGTTGGACTGGAGGAGCTTTCCAGGTCCCTTCCAACTCCTCATATTCTGCAATTCTGTGAAGGCAGGTCTGACGCCAGGCTGGGGCATCCATCTGTGGGTTGGGCTCCAGATCAACAGGGTCCATGACCAGACACACTCGTGGCTGTGGCTGCTCTGGAGACCAGACCTCCTTGTCATGTAGCTCAGGTCAGGACTGACCAGAATGAGCTGAATGGGGCTCCTGGGCTGCTCAGGTTAATTAGGGCCTATTAATGCACTCAGGGCTCTGACACGATGCCTGTTTGAAACCTTTTGAAGAAACCTGCAACCTTTTGAAAGAAAACTAAAGCTAAAGTATTTGGAAAAAAAGGAAAAAGAAGGGATGAGGTAAAACTAATTTTAAGTATAAACTTCCTAGAAAACCGAGCAGGTGTAGAAATCTCTCATTTCCTTTTGTCTTTCCAGTTCTACCAGAATTAAAGCTGCTCTGTGGTGCTGATTTTCTGCAGACATTTAAGACACCCAATCTCTGGAAGGAAGAACACATCAAAGAAATAGTGGAAAAGTTTGGCTTGGTCTGTATTAGCCGTGCTGGCTCTGATCCTGCTCAGTATATCAATGAATCCACCCATTTAACTAAATTTCAGCACAACATCTTTCTGGTGAAGGAATGGATTCAGAATGAAATCAGTGCAACGCAGATACGCCATGCCTTGTGCAGAGGATTAAGTGTCAAATATCTTGTACCAGATTCTGTTATATCCTACATTGCACACCACAATATCTACACAGAAGAGAGTGAGCGGAAGAATGAAGGTGACTTGCTTCAGCCTCTTAAGTTGCATAAAACAGTAAACCCACTAAATGACTGAAGTCTGTTGTGTGTGAAGTGGACAGACCTGGCATGTTTTTCATGTAAAGTTCTTGAAAAAGTTGTTTCTGGTTAATGAGGGAAAAATACATCAGTCCAAAAGTTCTTGAACTCATGTGGTGTCTTAAATTCCTGGTTTTGTGTATGGGAGTGCTTAAGCAAATTGGGATGATCAGCTGCATAGTTGAAAATACGTAAAGAACAGCTTTCTTCTGAAAATAAAAGAAACAAGATCTTAACAATAAATATTAATCTCCAGTAATACCTACGGGTCAGACATAGCACTTTCCTGAATTGTAGGTCTGCAGTCCAAAAGACAGTTTTAGCAAGAAGATGCCTCACTGTTCTGAAGCAACAAAATAAAATGAACCACAACTTTTCTTTTTATGTATATTTAAACATGTATTACTGCTTAACTTTGACTTTTTAGGACCCTGAATAACTTTTTTTGGTTTTGCAGTTTGGACAAGAGATGGAAGTAAATGAGTCTTTCGTGCAAGTATTTCAAAATGCATGCACCATTCGTGTCACTTTTGAGCCCTCATATCCGGGTTTAAAGTGGGTTTCTTTGCTTCTCTGATCCAGTCTTCTATAAGAGTAAGCAATTGCCAAAGCCTTGGAGTAGATAACATATCCAAGAGGAACTGCAGCTATACTGTTTGAAAACAGACAGTGGAAAATAAATGAAAATTGCTAAGAGGCTTTCTCGGTATTTGAGCCCTAATGTTAGCCAGAAAAATCCGCTCTCAGCTGTTGGTTGCCTGTTCTGCTGATTCAGTTTATCTCATTTTTGACAGAAGACACCTTCAAAGAACGTAGAATCTCTGAAGTGCTACTTCTGTTTCGATGTTGCTTAAATTAACTGAAAGCATGCATTCAGTGATGCTGTAGCATTTAGCAGTATACAGAATTAACCACTCTTAATTCCAAGTCTCCACCTCGCTGGCCCCTTTTGATCCCTCAGCTGGCCAAACAGCTTCCATTGATAGTTCTCTAGAATTAAGCAGCTCATGGAGCAAGTCAAGTAATGCCAGACACAAATTGCTGTCACTGGAAGAGTCTGTACGATAGTTTGATGAAAAGAAGAAGGCATAACATAGCTGGAACATATTCAAGGAAGGTTTTACCCAAAAAAAACCCATGAAAGATAAGCACTTACATAGCTTAGGCTAATATCCTAAACTGAAGACATTTTACAAGTTTTTTTTCTGAGTGGCATGAAAAAGGAAGCGTAATATGATTAAAATGGATCTCCAGATAATCAGTACACGTACAGCAGTTGTATGGAAGGTAAATGTTCCACTCTGTTTAAAACAAGTCATCCCGCTGTCATTAGAAATATCAGAGGTCCAGCCTTGTGGAAGGATTTCAAGGCAACACTTCAACATTAATCGGATTAGAAGGACTTGCATAGCTACATGGTCTAAAAAAGAGATAAAAGAAACCAGAGTTCAAACTTGCCCCACAGAAAGGCAGTGAGCTGTGCGGTGCAGAATTCCGCACTATTCTGAGACCTTGATTTTGACGATTATCTAAAGCAGGGATGCCTGCAGATTTCAATGGTTACTGGAAAATGGTCAGCAATGACAATTTTGAGGAGTATCTGAAAGCACTGGGTAAGGTTCCCTTCATGTTTCTTTGATAAATAATCAAGAATTACAGCCTGCCTTAGTCTCGACATAAAGCTGTTTTTTTCTTGTACAGTCATAAGTCGTTTTTGTGAGAAGTATTTGTTCAGGAATGCACATTAAGATTTGCCTTATGCAAAAATGTTTTGTCTTAAGCAGCTTCCGCTTTTTCCCATCTGGAAGTTTACATTAACAAAGATTAAGCTGCATAGCTTGAAGAGGTAAGTGGCAGATTTCAAACTGAAAGAAATAACCATAATTCAAGAAGGAGTAGAATTTTGATGTGTACTAAAGGGACGACAACGTACTTAACGCAGTTTTGTGTGTGCGCATTTGATGAAGTATGTGAAGTAAATATTGAAGGCCTTATTAACTGTCAAATACAAAAGGTGTTATTTAGGATTCCGTATAATCAGAAAATCAAAACATTAATTTATTATAAGTTAAAAGAATTTGGTTATAGACTTTTTCCTGATGAGAAAGCTGGCCTGAAAGATCTGGACATGTATTTATCTTTGTTCATTTTGGTTCTCCCAAGAGCTACAGTCTTCTTTTTGTGGTGGACTTTTTCATTTTTCTTTTTCATTTTCAGATGTAAATGTTGCCGTAAGGAAAATAGCAAACTTGCTAAAACCTGACAAAGAAATCCTTCAGAATGGGGATCATATGATCATTAAAACGCTAAGCACTTTTAGAAACTACATCATGGAATTTGATGTAGGAAAGGAGTTTGAGGAGGATTTGGCTGGGGTGGATGATCGCAAATGCATGGTAAGAATTAGAACTGTAACAATTAATAATAATAACCTGAGGCCTTTCTCACACCACATCTGTTAACTGGTTTGTGTGGCTATTCCTGAAATTAGTCGGGTACTTCTCAGTTTCCTGCGATGTTCACTCAGATTTTAGAGTGCCTTTCCATTAAAGGAATCCTAATTTTAATGAGGAGCACAAAGCAGTTTTATCAGTGAATAATAACTTCAGTGAAACGTTCATGACTCAGTTATACTGAGATATTTTTTAGTCAAAAAGACATTTAAGTTCAGGCTTCCAGAGTCTCTTTACTGAGTAATATTTTACAGTAAAGGCAATCCAGTGATTGCAGGGTCAGGCACTATTCCCCATGTGTAAGAATGGCCAAGTGCTTAGAAACTGGGGGTTTTCTCTCTTGTTCCTCTGCTCCTTCCTTCCTGGGTGTATTTATTAGAGCAGACATGTTAATTAGCCTACTGGAACAAATCTTACTGCAATCAATAAGCAAACACTGCGGACTCTGCCTTATGAGCTGTTTTTGCTTGCCAGAGAGACAGTATTTTCTAATTTATGACTGAGAAATAACAATTAACAGGGGGGAAACTTAAGCCTACAGAGTTCTGTCCCGTTAGTTTGAATGCATGACACCTACAATATCCTACAGTGAAGAAGTTGATAAGCAAACGAAAATTATCTCAGGAGGGATAGAGGAGAAATCACGAAAAAGAGAAGTAACAGGTTTCTAGTTTTAGATAGTGCCATTTAAAACTGCTCCTATTCTCTAACACTAGTACATGCAAAATTGGTTTTGCTCTGGTGATGGCACGAAGGGGAAAGATTGTGGAGATCAGAAAAAAAGAATGGCGAGCTAGCAAGTGCCTCAGCTAATCCTCCTGTACCCCTTGTTACGGAGGGCAGAGGCATGGTGCAGAATCCAAAACTCACAGAAGGGAGAAGCAGTTGTATTTGTGTATAGGAAAGTGCCCCAGTGCTGTAGTGCATTTTGGACTGCGGGAAGGCTCTTAATCAGGATCATGAGGTCCAGTTCCACTGACCAGTTGTGAGCCCAAAGAAAGACTTGGACTTTGGTGGCTGAATTACTGTCAGACATAGCAATGTTCAAAACATCTGCTCAAGTGGTAAAAAAGTCCTGAGTGTTTGAGTCGGGGAAGTAGTGGTTTGTGTGCATACAGATCGATCTCCATCTAGCATTATCTGTGCTTAAATGCCATTAATCTCCATCTAAAGGAGGACTAAAGCATCCTCTATGTGGCGGAAAGAAGTAATTGTGCTCTGAGACTGTCTAGCTTGTACCTGCAATGAGTCCTTACAAAGTGTGTCAGACAATCACTGTGCTGAAAAATCAGATTCAGAAGACGTGGAAATGTGGCTCTTGCCTAGTCCTGCTTTTGAACGCTGAATAGATTTAACACACAACTCTTTTATTTTCCGACAAGTACCCTGAATATTTCATTACTTGTAACGCCAAAATTCTCTGTCCTATTTTGCTAAATTGAGTGATGGGGAAGAATTCAAAATGTTGAACAAGAAAGAAGAAATTAGGGAGTAAGATTATTCTAGGCACTACAATAGCTACTTGATTTGGAGTGGAACCTAGCTCACCCTACTTTGAAGGCTTGCTTCAACATTTTATCTATTGGCTGCTCAGTGCAAAATGCCTTGGAAGCAGAAGGTACCAGGATCTTCTTGTCCTTTAAAATTAAAAATAAAATAAAATAAAATAAAA